GTGCGCGTGCATGCGTGCGTACGTGTGCTTTATAATATGACATGATTAAAGTTATTAATTATGTATTACTGATTATTGCATTTAATTAATTCATATCACAGGGTAGAAGATCACGCAGAGAAAGACGTGCATTTAGAGAAAAAAAAATGATTGGTCGAGTTATGAGTCCACCTAGGTAGTTACTTTTTCATTATTTTGAAAATCTTTCCTTAGTTACTTGATTACTAGTTAAGATTAAGTTTATTAATTAAATAATTAATTAATTAAAGAATTTTTTCTACATCTTATATCTATAATTTTGCATTTTATTTATTAGTTATGCAGCAAGAGAAAGTCCTGAATATAATCCCTATAGAAAATCTTCATCCAAATCTCGTTCAAGATCTGTTTCTCCTGTAAACACTGGACAAATAACTTATATTACAAGTTTTGGTGGGGAAGAAGAGACTCATGGATGTTCATCTCATGTCACTTCTTCCAATTCAAGAAAAGTCAATTATTCTCATTTTAGACGTAGAAGGTCGGACAGCCCAACACTTAATGAACGAACAATTAATAGAAAACTTTCAAAATCCCGATCTAGGAGTTGCTCTCGATCTGTTAATAAATCTAAATCATACAGAAACCATGATAGAAAACGTAGTACATCCAGGACCAAGTAAGTTTATCAATATTTAGAATCATCTGAAGAGTCATCTGAATAATTCTTTTAATACTTTTATAAATAAGACTGTAATGATTGTTTTCTCGATCGTTTACTTAAACCAAAAGGTTTATGGCGATAAATTTTTTTTTTTTTAACACTTATAAACAAAAATTAAAATTTCATCTTGATTGAATACAAATATTTATACAGTAATGTAGTAATATTAAATGTCCAAGAGATTTATTTTAGATATAAGGAAGACTGATTGAAATAAAATTTATTTTGTTTTAAGATTTATTTACATAATGTAGATAAAATTTTTTTTCAGGTAGGAATATTTAAAAGATTTCAATATCATCTTCATCGTTTTAAATGTATTTTTGAACATTTACAATTGTAGTGTTTTCAAAACAATTTCAATGAATTGTCATATAGTTATTCAAGGTTATGAACATAATAATGAATGAAAAATGAAAATTAATTATGGATATTTCTAAAACAGAATATTTTTAGCTTTATTAACAGAATAAAATTGAACCTAAATAAACTTCCTCTAGATGCTTAAGAATAATAATAATTGAAAATAATTTGCTACAATAGATATTTAAAAAATTGACCAGCCACAAAAAGATCTTAAATAACTTTGAATAATTATAATTATTGAAGTTCTTTGACAAATACATACGTACAGAATTCATTAAAAAATAAAAAGTTCCAGTTTAAAAGAATAAAGATGACCTTCAAATCATCTAAATATAGTTATCTGAAAAAAATTTTCTCTAATAATAGTCCTCTTAGAACTGAATTTTCGTTTCAACATTTCTTTTGTTTATTTTCAAAGTTGAAAGATTTTTGTTTATTTTCAAATAACTTGTTTTAGTTAGATGATCTTATATAATCTTATTTAGATGATCTTAAATAATTATATTTATGCTGCTAATTGATGTATAATTTTTAGATCAAGAAGAACTCGTTCGAGACATAGAAAAATCACAAGATCAAGAACAAGAAGTCATTCAAGGCGATCACGAACTCGAAGTGAATCTAGATCTCGATATAGAAGTTTTACTAGATCTCGTTCACGTACTATTTCAAGGTCAAAAACAAGATCTAGATCTCGATCGCGTCCAAAAAGATCTAAAAGTTCATCTTCAAGTAGTATATCCAGATCAAAATCAAGATCGAGATCAAGATCTAAATCACATAATAGAAGTCATTCGAGAGATAGTTATCGTCGAAGACATTATTCTCCATCGAAGTCAGTATCTAAATCTCGATCCAGAACTAAATCTCAATCTAGATCAAGATCAAGAAGCCAGTCTAGATGCAAACGATCTCGTAGTATCGAAAATAAAGTACCAGCACTGCCAAGGTATACATATATTTTAATAAATGTGAAATTTTTAATGTATCTATATTATTTCTTAATTGCGACATTAGATATTATGGCCGACGTGGAAAATCATCAAGTTTGGAATTAGAATTATCAGATAATGAAGAAAAAGTTTCTCAGGCAACACCAAAACCAACGGTTACTAATACCACGAACATGTAAATTTAATATTAAGTACACATATTATACTATAATTATAAGAATTTTTCTAATTAACTTAAACATTTCAGGAACAAGCCAAAAGCAGGGTTAAGTACAAATTCTGGTGGCGGACACAAAGTCAGTAAGAACCATAACGCTTACTTAGTCACTTAAAGACAGAGAATAAAAGACAGTATATACTCTTTATATAATTACTCTTTTGACGAAGAAATTCAAGTGCTATTTGTTTTCATTCTGTTGGATAATATAAGACGTTTAAATTATATTTTTTATATTTCACCTTTAATAAATTCATTAGGAGTTCTTATTACATATTTAATAATAGAAAGCCACGAAGAATTTGAAAATTTTAAATCTATATTTTTCTAACATTAGGTATTTGTTATAATAGCTCAATTTAATGAAGTTTCTCAGAAATAATTTCTGTGAAATTTTTATTATTTTTATTATCAGAATGGAAACATTTTTTTGTGGTTTAATGTATTTGTTTCGTAGATGTAGTAATATGAAAAAGTCTTCAATATAGGATATATTTAATATCAATTTTAATATGTAATATCGTAATCATTTTCTTAAAATTTTAATATAAATTTTATTACGTAATGTACCTTAAATTTGTTTAGAAAATATAATCTTATTCAATAATATGTACATACATATAAAATTTTTCGAAATATTTATTTAATTTGTTGTATTATTTGCACTAAACAGTTTAAATATTTCGAAAATGAAGAAATCTGTAATTAAATTAAAAAACAATAGAATTAAAAATTTGTATTAAAATTTTAGAAATATTTTATACATTACTATACATATTAAAACATTTTAGTAATTGAAAACAGACTTTTAAGAGTTACATTTTTCAGTCACTGAAGATCACACCCCAGGAACGACTTAAGAAGAAAATGCAAGCTTTATTAAACAGGCAATGTAAGTAAAATATATTAGAATTTTTAATAAATTTTAGTATATTATTTTAGTATATTTATATTTTAATAAATTTTAAGTTAGTAATAGTATTAATAGTTAGTAGTTTTTAGTATATTATATTTATTATAATTATATTTATATCTTAGATAAAGCTGATAAGAAAGCCGAACAACTTAGAATCGAGAAGATGGAACAGCAAAGGCAAGATAGAGAAGATGAAATTCGAGAAATGTCTTTGAAGTTACGTAGAAAGTATGTTATTATTCTTATTTAATCTAATATTACTTATTTTTTATGTTATTCTTTTTATTTAATAATCTTTTTTAGACAAAGGGAACGAAGACATCGTTATGAAGGTCATAGTTCTGATTCACATTCCTCCGTATCACGTACACCAAGCCCTGGTCGTAGTCCACGAATTGTTCGTCGAGAAAGAAAAGATAGAGACATAAGAGATTTCGAAAACGATCGTGAGCGAGAAAGAGATAGAGAACGAGAGAGACGTGACGGTCGAGAAAAATTTAGAAGTGACTCTCGTAGAAGATACAGAGATTCTCCACTTCGTTCTTTAAGTCCAAGAAATAGCCGGTAAAATTGCAAATGATCTTACTGAATTAAAAAATTAAGAAGATTTTTTAAATGTTTCGTTATTTTCTATTTTCTTTTTTTCTTTTTTCTTTTTTTTTCTTTTTTTTTTTTTTTAGAGGCCTAGTTGATTATTGACAAGAAACCATGTGGTTAATCTTCCATTTGATGGACTTAAAATTTTATTAGATACTTCCTGTATTGCATTCCTTTCGTAAAATGCTTCAAATGCTTTAAGAAATGCGATAAAGAAGAATATAAAATGTATGATTATAATTTACAAATATCCTTTAACCATTAATTAAGATTGTTTAATCTTATATTACAAAAATAAATGCAGTTGTTTATTTACATTTTATCATTATTATTCGATATAAAATTTATTTTATAATTATATATGATTATCTAATTCTAAATAAGATTAAGTAGCAATTTCAATAAACTTATATTTCAATTGAATAATACTTCTATTTATTTAATTTTTTATTACCGTCAGTGTTTGCTATTTTTAATATATTATAAAATTATCTTAACATATAGAATATTTTAAATTTATAAAAATGTGTAAAATCAATGTTTTTAATTTGGTAAATATACAGGATGTCCCAGCATCAGTAGTACAATCGCGAAGGGAATGATTCTAAGATATTGATGATGAAAAGATAAGTCAAAAAGAAGGAATAAAATTTTTAATTGGGTAAAAGGTTTAGTTCTGAGAAAATCAAATTTGAAAATTTATCAAATATGCTTGAGCTAATTCTAAAGCTGACAAAAAAGAATAATTAGGAGGTTATTCTACGAAAATAAGTCGAAAATAGGAAATAAAGTTTTTTTGTAAGATGCTTCGTTTTCGAGAAAATTGAATTTGAAAATCTATCGAGTACTAAGGCAATTTTCAACGAAATATGTTCAAAGTTTATTTACAATTATTACTCAAATTCTACCACGCTCGATAAATTTTTAAACTTGATTTTCTCAAAAACAAAGCGTCTTATAAATGTTTTATTCTTTATTTTCGACTTATTCTTTCGTGTAGAATAAATATTAAAAATTTATTTTTTCTTAATAAAAATTTACTTTTTCTTCTAATTTAATAAATTTATAACACAATTAATGTTTTAATAATAGACAATAATTTTTCCTGATTTAATCATAAAAATTTCTTGTAAAGTTTTAAATTTTACGAACGCACGTTTCAGTTGCAGTAAAATAGAAGAATTAAAAAATTCATGTATTTTTCTAAACTATTAATCTTTTGAAATATAATAAAGTAATGGAATTATTTGTTAATAATATCTATATCATTTAAATTGTACATTTCCCCCTTTTTATCCAATATGGTTGCACGAGAGTATTTATATGAATGAGAATATTTATTATGATATAGTATTACAGTATAAGAGTATTTACATTAAATTTCATAAAAATTTAACAGCTCAGCAAAATAATTTAAACAAATAATATAACATTCATATTAATAATATATGATTTTAGTGCGTACCGAAATTCATCAAGTATACCCTTGTTTTGCTATATCTTAAATCTGTAGTAACTAATATGGCGGAATAGATAGATGTTGACTTTTCAAGATTCGCATGTCTTAGATTCAAATATCTCTGTACGACAAAGTTTAACAAGAAATTGGTTAAATGTTATTCATTCGTGTAATTTATGTCATTTATTGGCACACGTTGTAATTACCATTGAAGTCACGTGTTGTGTACTTAATTGTATTGAGTATTATTAACAATAAGTGCGTATATTACCTATTAGAACAGTCTACTTGGCAAAGAACTGTAACTTCGATTCTTAACGTGAATGTATCGCAAACATTTGAAAAATCAAAAGGAACATATGATTTTTTGAATTATTTTGATCTTAAATAAAAATAATACGACTTACGTAATGAGAGTGTTAATATCAATTTTATATATTCCATCGAAGGGTTAAGAGGTGCGTTTGTTATTTGAGGTTCAATACATTTCAAGAATATTAAATACTATTATTGCATTAAGTACATAAATCGAATGAAATTAAATGTACTTAATAATGAAAATTTTGCAGTACTCTGTTATGTTTCAATATGTCTATTGGACGAATATTTTATTAAAATTATTATTACTATTATACAGACATAAATATCTTAAAATGTAAAACTAAAACAATAATATAATGTTCTTTGAAAATTTTTGAATCGACTTGATTTTAATATAAGTGAGAGACCAAATTTTTGAATTGTTTATTATAAACTTATCTTAGTATGAAACGTTATGAAATGTTTATATATTGTTTTCAATTGATTTAATAGTTTAGTTGATCTTTCAGAAACATGTGTGATTTAGCAAAAAAAATGAAAGATTCAAGTGTTAAAAACAATGTGCAAAATGAATCAACAGATCAGTTTTGTCCAACACAAAGTGCTGATAAAAAGGAACCTGCATTGAAAAGTACAAACGAAGATGTTCAACGTGCAATCGAAGGTTTAAAAGACATACCAGACGAGGAACTTCAAGAATTTCTTGACGATGAAGACTTCATGGAAGGTTTAGATGTTGTCGATGCTTGGGAAGGTGATGAAGAAAAAGGTCGTGAAATTGAATTTAAAACCCATATCAAGGATCAAGAACAGAAGCGTTCTTCTAGGTAGCAACAATAATATCAAATTCATTGTTATAGTTATTTTTTATACAATACAAATGAATTTGTTATATAATGTTACATAATAATTACAAATTATTATAAAATATAACAAATTTTTATAAAATCGATTTATAGTTTATAATTATATTATGATTTTTATACATTTATGCGTATTACAATTTTGATTAATAATTAATGTTATATTGAACAATCAATGTACTTTATGTTTTAAATTTTAGTTCTTCTCTTTAAATAATTCGCAACGTACAGAAAAAAATTATTATGAGCCTACTTATAGGGAAAGATATCGGCGTGACTACAAAGGATCTTACAATCGTGAAAGGCCAAAGAGAGAAGAAAAAAGACATGAAGAAATTCGTCGTGATCCTTCTAAAAGTACTAAAGATATAGAGAAAGATAAAATACGTACGAAAAGAGATAACGAAAGCAAACTTTTAGCTGAAAAGGAAAAGGCTATTAAACATTTGTTGGACTCTGATAATGTTGTACCTCCAGGTACAGAAACTGAAGCAATTCAAAGCATTACAGAGAGACAAAATATAGAACAAGCACAGATCCACAAGATCCGAGAACGACGTAAAAGTATAGAACGTCAAAGAGGAAACTCATTACGCCGTAGAACGCCAGATAGAATTAGACTAAATTCTCCTCGACGAAAATCTCCTCCAATATTAAGTCCAGAACGTTCTAGAAGTGCTTTTAAACTGAGCAATGAAAGACATAGGAGTCCATTACGGTTTAGTCCTGATAAAAGAAGAAGTCCAAGATTTAATTCTGCTCGTAGAAGCCCTTTTGGATTTAGTCCTGAACGACGAAGAAGTCCAATTAGACGACTTAGTTGGGAACGAAGAACAAGTGCTGACAGAAGATGGAGTGCTGAACGAAATAGAAGACGTATAAATATACATGAACGGTGAGAAGACATTATTTTTAAGCATATATAACTACTTAAGTTTTATTGTAGAAATAAAAGAATGTTTTCTGTACAAAATGATTTTTGTAAAACAAGTATAAAATTTAATTTTATCATTGCTTAGCTCAGCTAACAAGTAAAAAATTTTATGCTTTTATTAAATTATGATGATGTAAATTTGTTAATGGTTTAGGTTAATAAAATATTTTAATTTAAACTTTAAATTGTCAAGCCGAAGAAGTCGATCTCGTGATCGACAGCGAAGTCGCAGTACGGATCGTCTTAGAAGAAAGGTCAGCCGTTCACCAATTAGTAGACGTTACAGTCCTCGCCGACGAAGTCGAACTCGAAGTAGATCACTAGAACGTCGAAGAAAACGATCTCCCTTTATCAATGAACTTACAAGACAGCTAAGAAATGAAGCTATAATGACATCACACATGAATACTGGATATACACATCCTTCATCTATGGACGGCATACCACCCCTAATGAATAATGTATATCAGCAAGAAACAGAACCTAGATCATCAATACAAATGCCACCTTACATGCATCAAACTGGATTAGCACCACCAATGTCATCAAATATAACAACTGGTGGCCCAACATTCATGAATTTTGAAAATTCATCTCAGCCAATGAATTTTGATTCTGTTCCATTACACCAATTACCTCAAACGGAATATGTTTCTGGTCCAGTGATGTATAATCAACCGAATACCGGTTCAATTCAATCAACACATAGACCAACACTTCTTCCAGCACCAATTTCATCGCCACAACATGACTCTGCTACATCTACAGTGGATCATGTGCAAACATATAATTCATCACATGGCATTCCTTCCACTCATCAATCTCCAATTCAAAATTTTGAATTTTTAAATAAATCTAAAGATACAATCTCTCAAAACTACAGGGAACGTGGATTTACAGATTCTTATAATGGATATCATACTTCGCAAGAAGAACGATTGAAGACCCCTGAACCACCAGTCATCTCAGATACAAAAGTAATTTTGTTATATATTACAACAAAAAGTTATTTTTTTATAGTTATATATTTCATTCTGTATTATCAAAACAACAAATTATTTTAAAATTAATGAGTAGTATTTTTACGTACCTTTTAACACAATGTGAAATTAAATTTTTTAAACTTTATATAAATATAAAATAATATAACTTTATATAATATAAAAGTATTAATATTTATCGTACGAATTAATTTTACAGCAATTTGAAAAAACAAGTTTATCCAGTCTGTTGGAAGCATCTGTTTCCGCTAAAGGTGCGAATATATTTTTATGTATTTACTAAATTCAAAATTATATATACAATAATGCAAGATATTATTTGTTACAATGAACAAAATTAATACTTTATTTTTCATGTTTCATACATTTTCTAGATTCAACTAGTCTGCCAGTTTTGTATCCAGGTAAGAATATTTTAATTATTCACTTACTTATAATGTTTTTTATGGTTTGTTTGTATTAAAGAAATGTTTAATATTTTCTTTCCAAGTTAATTCAAACACAGTGACATAGTGAAATAAGTTAATATATTAATTTTACATAATTTTGTTTCTCTTTGACAATAGGATTCAAACCAGAATTATTACGTCGCTGTGAACATGCTTTGCATGAACTTCCTATAGAAGATCTTCGTTTAAAGATGAAGGGGCGATTTTTCTATGATCCAAAAAAGGAGAATACACAAAGTGAACAAAACGTATATTCATCGAATTCAATTCTTTTACAAAAAAGCAAAAACAAAATACAGTGGGAGGAAGAAGAACATCTAATTTCCATAAAACAAAATATACAAATGCATCAAAAAATTTGTCAAACTGATGAAGTGGAAACAAATACAAAATTTGTTCAAGCTAGTGCTACTATGGTAGATTTTGAAGTACAAGTATATCCTCAAGACTTACAATATGCTGCTAAAGAAGAAAAAAGACCTATCATGGATCGTCTAGATTGGAATGTGCGTGAAACATTTGATTGTACATCTAAATTTCGAGAAGCTGACGATTTAAGATGGAGTTTAAGTAATTCTTCTCAAAAAAGAACTTGGAATCGAACGGTATCCCCTTCTAGAAGGATTGATGATCGTAAACATCATATAGATTCTGTATCTCCTGTAGATCATGGTTCAAGAAATGTGAAATTAGGATCTCCAATAAGGAACAGAGATAATTTTTCCAGTCATAAAGGATCTATTCGAGAACATTATGTTCGTGAAAGATATTCACCTAATTATAGGCATTCTTTAGAAGAACGTGGTGAATTTCATGAAAACAGAAGTGATCATAGTCGTGGTGAAAGTCCTATGATGCTAGAAGATTCTGGAGAAGAATTAGAATTGGAACATACATTCCAAAGAGGAACAGATTGGCATGGAAGAGGAAAACAACCAAGAGGCAGGTCGAGTTCACTAATGAAACATGTGTTCAGAGGAAAATATTCAGGTGGAAGACCTTATCGTGGCCGTGGAAATTTTCATGGGAAATTCTAAAACTATTTGTGTAAAGCACAAACTTTAAATATAGAATTATGTAATCAAATATATCAATATATCAAAAAAAGTTATCTATTCATGCAAAAATTTCGAAAGAATGATGTGAATTTATCGTTTTATTTAAAATATGCATCTTTGTATGTTGAAATTATCTCAGAAATTATTATTAAAATATATTTTAAATACACATTGGATTTAAAACATTATATTATAAATACAAATATTCTTTGCACAGATATTATCTACTAATATTACATTTGAGATGAAAATTATAAAATCATTTGTATGTAATGTTTGTTGAATAAACATTTTATGGGACAATACAAACAGTGCGGAAGAAACCACTGTTTATATTATTACTGAATTACAAATCAAATTGTGTAAATATGTGATAATTATAAATTTTATACATTATACTATTCATGATTTATTATCTTGTTCTGTTTATTATTAATAATTTTTATAAACTGAAATATTCCATTTTAACCGGTACTGAAGATTAAAATAATGTTTTACATACTATTATTTTTGAAGATATAAAATAAAATATTGTTTTCAATTTAAAATCAAGCTTAAATTATATACTCAATTAAGTAACTACATAATATTAAAACATTTTCTGAATTATAAAGTTTTATTTTAAATTATAACATAATGTAATACACCAAATGAGAAACTTAAAATTATTTTTCATTTTTTATATATGACATGTAACTTTCAAGAAACAATATGAAATTATATAATAGTTTCTTTCATTTAAAAGTACCACCAACTTGGAAACTATTATTTTAGAAAAAATGTTTCCTGAAATTACATTTTTTTAGAACATAAAAAATGACATGATGTGATTAAAAACGTAGAAATACTTTTAGGTTAAAATATCCTACAAATGTTTCAGAATGTATATAGTGCAATATTAATTTAATAATAACAATTTTTTATAGAAAAAGACACTTATAATTTCTTCAAGAAAGAAATGGAATAATATATTTATTTTTATTTTATTTACACTTTAATTAAAGCAATACAATATGCACATTGTATTAATACTTTATTTTTAATTTAAAATTGGGACATAAAAGTTACTATAAACAAATGATGTAATATGTATATTTTTTACTTGTTAATAATATAATATAAATATAATATGATAATATGTATATAATATGATAAAAATATATATAAATGTTTAAATGTAAAGCAAATAATGAAATAAAAAAATATAAATTTATTTTTTTAAAATAATTTTTTACAATAATATAACTTTTGTGCATACTCCACTGTAATGTTACACTATAAAATTCTTTTTATGAATAATTAATATAGTTATGTTAATTTATTTTATTAATATAACAAAATTATTTTGATCATATTTGATATATGTATGTTTATTTTCAAGTACTAACATTTAATTTAAAATATTTATGCTCATCTGTACATCAGCGTGGTTGATAAAAGTAGATATTTAAATTTTAAGAATTATCTAAATCCATATATAATATTAAGAATACGTTTATTAAAATTAATAATACATATAATTGATTAACTTATATATTCATATAAGTACTATAAATTGCGCTACAGAAATTATAATAAGAAAATGAAACTCAGATTTTTTTTTAAGTCCTTTTTACTTGCATATGATATATTAATTTTAAATATAATCAGTTTTTGAAAATACTGTAAGGAGTGCAAATTGTTCAAGCAACATAAAATTTTTATATTTATATTAATATACATAATACTTATGTTAATACAGTACAAACATTACAAATCTTTCGATTAATAGAATCATTTTATCTAAGTTATATTACCAATTCTGTTACTAGATGATTATCAGCTACTGAAATATATTTAATAATTAATAAATAATTCTGTACAGTATGAAAGCCCTATTTATTAATAAAAAGAATATTTGAAATAAATAATTCAGAGTTTATTTAAATTTGGTTTTGATTTTCTATTAAATTAAATATCTATATTTAAAAAACGATCTATAATATATATCAATACATAGAAATTATATAAATGGAATATTATGATACAAATAGAAGTGTCTTCCAAAACTACATGTTCTTGGTCCAGAATTTAATATGTGCATTCAATTTTTATACATATGGAGATTAATATTAAGATTTGCTGAATTGTTGCATGTGTATCAATGTTCGTTTTATGATCTCAATTAACTTATCTCTAGCAAAACATGCAAATTCTTGAAAAACATGATCATCACAATTTTTATTACTTACAGTTAATATAACTTTTAAAGGATCTTTCTTTTTAAATATACATATGAAATCTAAATTTATTTTATTTATTCCTCTTTCTTTATTGCAATTTTCTATTATTTGCTGAGACATAAGAGCTTCCTTTTGTAAACAAGTCAAACTGGGATCTAGAACAATACTATTAATTCGTCTATTGCGCCATACACAATGAGACCCAGTACAATGAAGTATGATATTCTGCTGCTTCTCTATATGCACATCTGATAATATTTCAATCTTTTGCTGTTTTGCTCCTGTTTCAGCTGGCAATACTTCAACTTGTACTTTAAAAACTTTTTCAAAAATATCTTTTACTATATTAAAGACAATAGAATGCCAATCACGTTTTAAAAATTTCGTTTTTTCTGTAATGTCTATACATGTTTCCATACTGTTTGATCCATGAAATTGATTTGCAGAAACTGTAACATTAAATTTACCTTTTGGCAGAGCTGTAGTAAGCAAAGTTTTCATTAAATCTCTATAGTCATTTTTGCTAGACATAGCGCAAATTTCTGCACCAATTGCACAATATCTTACAACAGAATCCAATGTAGAAAATTGCGTGCCTGCTGTAACGTTATGATTTAATTCTATAGGATCTTGTACACACATTGGTTTATTAACATTTAGTTTAAGATTTTCATCTTCTTTTACGCATACTTTATATCTATCCATACATGATGGTAAATTTTCTATATCTTTAAATTCTGATTCTGTATGTACCATTCCATCTATTGGACATATTATTTGCGATTTAAATTCAAAAGTTGCATAAAAAAAGAAAAAACCATGAAGAAGTTCCGAAATACTATTTTTATTTGTAATCGGTGGCAATACTCCATTTTCATCAAAATTAGCTTGCCATCCATTTATAATTCGTGGTTGACATGTATTTTGTAGTATCATTAAAGGTGGAATAATATTAACAGATGGTTGTTGTAAATAAAATATAATTAATAATACCAAAGCATAATTGGATATTTTCTGTCCACTCGATGTTTTAAAATGTCGTGCCCAATATTTAATAATCATCATTAATGGTCTTAGCCTACTATCAAGAGATATGCAATATTTTATCAAATGACTTTTATATATACCCAAACTATTTTTGAATGAAATGTCACAAGAAACATTTGTCCTAACATAATAAAATTTTATAATAGGAGTTTTAGCTTTTGGAATTGATATTATGTTAGAAAAAACACAGTTCATTCGATACATGATTCTTTTTACTTCTTTAAAAATCTTATGCATAGTCCATGAATCTGAAGTACTTTTATTTTCATTTATTGGTTCGCCTTCAATAAGAATCAAATTATTGAAAAAAAAAATATATATATATATTTATTATAAAGTAATAATTTAATAAATTTGAAATCTTACCAATATCCATATATATATCTAAATCACATTCTTTAAAACCTAATCCTGTTTGAGTTGAACCAAATCTGTATGTTTTACATTTTGGAAATACTACTTTGAATATTTTGTCCAATTGTGTACAAACAGATTCATATCTTGTTTCTATTTCAGCATCGCTAAGTTGTATTGCATTTAAAAATATAATTAACTGATTATCAAATGTAGTTTTTTCTTGAAATATATGTTTTATGTTATCATAACTTATAGAATCTGTATTTTCTGTGGGACTATTTCGTTTTTCTGATTTGGATCTTTTCAGATCTGAAAATAAAATATAGTTTAAAAATATAAAAATATATTTTTCAAGTGCATAATAATACTTACTACTATAGACTTTTTTCTTTTCTATATTCAACTTTATATTATTTATCCAAATTGGTTTATTTAATAGAACTTCTGCAGGATTTCTACAATGTTAAAAAATTATAAATATACTGTGGTTCACGACTTTGCAGCAATAATAATATTAAATTTATCTTACTTGTCACAAAACTCAACTATGAGATAATTTGGGCCAAACTGATGCCTTTTAATTGTACCATATTGTTGAAAAAAATTAATAAGTCTATGAGTAGGAATAAATTTTGGTAATGGCGAGACAACAATTGATCTTTCCACAACTTCGAATCGTTCTAGTTCTTTCAAATGTTTTTTACCTGCAAGATGACCTCGCAAGGCATAATCATCTTGGAAATGCATTGAGCATATGTCACAATGTTTCGACATTGCTGATTATATATATATAAATCCACATAAGATTTTTTCACATCAGATTTATAAAAATTTTATCTTCCCTTATTAATATAATATATTTATATATGCATCAGAGAAATGTTCATAAAATTAGTAATTTAGATTCACATTGTTATTATATTTTAAACTATTGTTTTTTAAAGTATTTTATAAAAATATAGCATATTAAAGTAATATTATCCTATATTTTTATAAAAATTGGCTATTATAAAATACTATATCAAAATAAAAATAGAAGCTCTCTTATTTTTCATAAAAGTTTTCTCTCATTCAAAATACAATGTTCTTACTTTCACTTTTAAATAAATGATGCATAACTTCAATGTTATCAATGTTATCAATAATTTTCTGGTTAAGTTCTTACTTTTTTTTATAAATTTTCAACTGTTTGTTTAAAAAAATTTTGTTAAACATTTATATCTCTTGAAATGTGATGTTTATATTTCCTAATATATTTCCTCATAAATTGTATGTTTGAACCTGTAAATAATACGTATAATGAAATAAGTTGTTATAAATTTTAGGTTCATTTTCAACTTACTTATAAAGATAGTATTGCAAACTTATAGATCAAATACTAGAATTTAACGTATTAAAATTTAATGTACTACATGAACGACGATAAATAAATGCAGAATTTCTACACCACATATACTGTGCAATATTTCACTCTAACCTAAGATTTATTTTCATTGCTAACAATTTCTACGTTTTAGGGGAAAATATCATATATGTATACTTTTTATAACAAGTTGCAGAATGTTAGATGAAGTGATGTTTTATTATTACTATCATAAATGTAGCATCTCAAAAAATTTATCTTTAATTTTTAAATATTTTATAAAATTGTATTTGCAGTACTTACGAAATTATTTGAGCTTTTATCAAATTAAATAAAAACGTAATTTAAATTAACATTTAATTTTGATACGAACAGAGAAATGATACGTTAAATTTAAAGCATGTTTATAATATTTATCAAATTATTTGTTGATATTACTAAATATTATTATATTAAGTTTCATAAATATTGTTTTATATATCTAATGATTATATTTAGATATTTTATTGAATTTTAAAATGTATTAAATTTATTTTATTTTTACATTTTATATTTTAATTTAAAATTCAGGTTCATTTTTGATCAAAGGTTTTGAATATATTTTTGAACATAGTATTAAAAATAATTAATGCAAAGTAATTTCAATATTAAATAATATGTATATTTAAAATTAAAATTGTTATAAAAATTAAACAACCAATAGTAAAAAACAAATATGTGTAAAAATAAATGTATATGCATATGATGATAACAAATATTTCAAATTAAATAATTGTTCAACTTATAAAGATAGAAATATAGAATATAACTTATACAAACGTTGTAAAACTACTGTTTATTTGTTTTTTACTTGCATTTTGAAAAGTATCTGATAAATTTTGGTTGTAAAATTTTATCCTTCATAAAAACTGTTACATAAGACATCCATAATATGTGCAAAATTTTGCAGTTCCATCTGTGGAAACTTAATTTATTTATTATTCTTTTTTTACCTAAAATAAGTATTGATATTAATATTAATATTGATAGTAATATTTTACAATAATTCGTTGTAATCTATCTTACCTATTAGACATATTTTTATAATATGTCTCGCAACTCTTTCATTAGTTTCTTGAACAACTAAAAGTGTATCTCTAACACTTCTTAAATTACTATCAAATAATTCTTTTATCAAAGTGCAAGCACGTTTTGCTTGTAGTAAACATATTTTTCTTATTTTTTTTATTATGGTCATTTTAGAATTAATTGTTCTATCTAAAATAAATTTAGATAATCTCAAACATGCTATATTACTTAATTGCTTCCTTAAAATTCTGGGAAAAATTTATAATTTATAATTATAATTTCTATAAAATGCAATATATCTCTTTATAAATTTATAATTATAATTTCTATAAAATGCAATATATCTCTTTATAATAATATATATATTATACATGTATTTGCATGATTACTCACATTAGAGGAGGTAGATTATTTTTTTTTATCAATTTCATCGAATAATATAAATATTTTTGTGAACGTTTATATTCTACTTCCAAAGTGATACAGTTAATCTTATAGCCAATGTAAATAATATTGTTCACAGCTACAGATCCATCACAAGTCATATTACTCTGAGTTTTTGATACTTTAAAGTAACAATTATATTGCGGGATACCTTTTCTTGTTGATTGTAAAAATCTATTTCGTAATAGATACAAAATATATAAAAAAATGGTAAGAGAAATTAAATGTGTTTGTGAATTCATTAATATGTTATAAATGATTTTTCATCTTACTGCTTTGCAAACATTTCATTTTTAGTAATGTATAAAATATCATCCATATATTTTATAATTTCTCCGGCTTTTAAATATGCTGACATTTCTTTATGTAAAATAAAATTATAATATATATCTGATAAAATAGGTGATACTGGTGAACCTTGTACAACTCCTTTTGTTATCACATAAACCTTTTTATTTATTTTTACCTATAAATTAAAATATTATATTTTGTAAACTCAAATTCTAATTTTATATTATATTTATATTATTTTAATGATATTTAATTATCTAAAAATCTTGTTTTTCATACTCTTTGATAAAAAATAAGTTTTGAAATTTGTTCCAGTAACCAGGTTTTTCTTATTTGTTGCCACTTTTTACATGTATCTGAATATAATACATTTGGTGCTAAAGGTAATAGCAAACTTGGGTCAGAGAAATATTGCTTATAACATACTTCCTTAGACTGTTTACTTTTAACTGCGTAATACTTCAACATCAAATTTTCTGGGAGATCTTTACAAAGTAACTGTATAATGTTATACAGTTTCTCTAAGTACAAAATAAAAGTTTCAATAAACACTTATTTGTAGGTATTAAATATTTAAAATTGAAAACAATTGCACCTTGTATTATAGAACCAAAAGCATTTGCTACATCACAACATACAAAATATAAATTAGTTGCTTCATTACGTTTGTATTGAACAATTGATTTCCATTTTTGTTCAAAATTAGTGACTCCATATTTTGTAATATGTAATTGTTTTAAAAATTTAAATACTACATTCAAACAATTTTTCTCTTTAGAAATATAGTATCTAAAAAAATTTAATCAATTTTCTTTTTAAAATACGAAATCATTTACTGTTGCTAAAGATAGTTTAATTACATACATTGATTTAATATTTTCTGGTTTAAATATAGGTCGTACGTCAGACTGTTTAGGAAATAGCATGTATATACCTATTGGTGGCTTCCATTCATCATATTTAATATCAGGTTGCAAGATTTTTGAACGTATTCTTTTCTTAATAAATTTTTTTTGTACAAGATTCCAAGTTGAACGCATAATATATAATCTTTCATTATTGCTTTTGGAAGAGGTCATATGAAAATAAGTATGCAATATTTTTAAAAGAAATCCAACAAAAAACCATTTTACGAATTTTGCTATAATGCACCATTGCATACTTATACTTTTAATATCTTGTAACCATTTGATATTAGATAGCTGAAATATATAAATATATTTTTGTAATACAAAATCATTTAACGTAATCATTTTTGTTAAAAATATGCAGTAACATACATCTAATTTTTCAATAAAAGGTCTTAAATTAAGTGATTTGTAACATGGTATATCCAACAGGTAGAACATAATTCTTTTTATTTTCTTCAAATTTTTTAACTTTCCAAATAGGTTCAGAGGAACTACTTTAGCAAATATAAGATCAAAAAATAACTTCAATTGTTTTTTGTTAATTTGATATTCACATTTTGATTTTCTTTGATTAAATTCGTGTTTACAAGTTAAATGTTTCAAAACACTAAAATAATGGAATTTTTTATGTTTTTTCTTAAATTGATCTAGAAGTACAGAAATGGTTGGAATAGAACTTTCATAATTAGTAACAATATTATTTTTGATAGTTTCTTTTATAATAAAGTTATATATCTCATTTCCAGTTTTATCTGTGTTGAGAAGACAACTTGTTAAATCTGTATAACTTTTATAGCTTGGTAAAGTTGAAGGCGTATTATATAAATAAATATTTAATTCCTTATTCATATGCCACAGATGATGATACATGCTTTCTTTAGGAAATATCTTCCATCTTTTTGTTTTAGTTTTAGCTTTTATTTCAGCTAAATCTAAAATAATAATTTGTTATTATTAATTTATATTATTATCTTTCAAATTTTTTGATCATGTTCAACTTGTCCTAAGTATCATGAATACTTATGATACTCTTGCTATATATAATACATACGATCTATGAACTTTTCTTTTTGTAAATCTTCCAATTCCTTGTTTATTTCTAATTTAATATCGTCGAAAACATTTAAACAATCAGTTAAAGCTTTATTAGAATTATTTATGGACACTTTGAAAGCACCACATTTATCCTGTTCAAGTAATATATTATGACATAGACAGTACCTAATTTAAAAAAAAGAAAAATTAAAAGTGCAAAAATGTAAATAAATAATCAAAATAGCATTAAATTAAAAAAAAAATACAAACTGCTCAAACTTTGTACCAAAAACATTTTCTATACTTTGTGTAGCCATTATCCATTATTTATATTTATAATTAAAACATCAATATATGAAAATGACTAATTTTTTAATACAAAAAAAGCACGAATATCACACATCAGTAAAAAAGTATCAAAATTACACTATTGTACTGCATTATATTATTACGTTGCGAATATTTACATTATTTAGATAAAATATCTAAGCTATTTCTATTATTTTTCAAAATTCTTCAAATAATTTTTAATTACAATGTATTAATTGTAAGGCAATAGCCTATTTTTAACACAGTTACAATTATAACATTAATATTAACATTATATATGTATAAAAAAAGCTGCTATTTACAAAACTGATCACGTGGTTATAGGCGCGTAAAAGTTATTAAATATTATGTACAGAGAATACTATATTCAAGCTTAATACAATGAATTGAACGAAAAATATTATTACATTATCTATCTTAATCAAAAAAGATTTGTAAAATTTGTTCACAAAATTTGAAATACGAATCTCATAAACTTTTAATTAAAACTTTCAATGATAATATACGCTTTTATATTTTTACGTGATTTTTAAATAAATTATTTCACAACATTAATATTAAAAGATGAAAAATGTTATTGTGTCGGTTGATTTTGTGCTCTGTGAATTATTGTTCTTTTAGAAATTGGTTTAGTTAACTAATTGAAAATTATCGATTCTTATTAAATTACATCGACGGAGAGAATATTACATCAATAACACCATTACGAGTATATACATTATTTTATGAAATACACAACTTGAAACAATAAAGTGAGTAATATGTACAAAAGTCTACGTAAAAGTTAAATGTTTATTAGGATTTTATTTGTACATAATGTATTTAAATAAAAAATTTTCATATGTTTAACACTTTAATATAACCTAGCTTACAAAACTATGTCTACATATATCTATATTTTGATAAATGAAATAAAAACTCCAAATTGACATATAATTTTCATATAAAAATAAAGATGTTAATAAAGAAAAAAAGATACAGAATAGAAAAATGTAACATTACAAGATATTCGTTTAAAACAACTGAAAAAAAATCTCGTTCATATCACAGATAGGTAAAATCAGGAAGGAGGGAGAGATTGGTAACCCTGATTGTAAGTAGCAGCAAAAGCCACATGGAAAAGGTAAAAGTATTGAGGAGCAAGAGTAGAACGACAGATTGGAAGCGCCACGAAACGGAGACGCGGACATTTTGCACACTCGGCATGGATCGAGCTCCATGTTCGCCCGTGAAAGTGATGCGGTATCTCCGCGATTAGGGGATACAAGTCTCGCGTTTAGTGGGAGAACGTTGAACAGTTTGCACGCGTTGGCTCGTCAGTCGGTATTCGGAGCCGGTTACAACGAGGTTAGTTCAGGGGTGTGTAATCTCGACGTGTGGCGATACCGTTTTTGCTTTGGTCTCGGTGCACGAGGAGACATTTGCGAAAACCAGTCGCGACAGCGCGAATTAGTAAAGTTCTGTCAGAAGGAGATATCGAGAGAATCGTTGAAAAGGAGAACGTTGGTAACAAAGCGGAGGTTAATAACGTTGAAAGTGGTGGCGATATCGACAGCGACAGTGACGGCAACAACAGCGGCGGTGGCGCAAGGTACGAGGACGAGGTGAATGCACGGCGGCCGCGGTGTGTGCCAGTGGTGTGCGCGCTCGTCGCTCGTGGAAACCCGCCAAAACCCGCGGCCGCGAACAACCACCAGCAAGAGCAGCAACAATAGCAACAACAACAGCAGTCGAAGAAAAAGGAGGAGGAGGAGAAGGAGGAGGAGAAGGTGGAACAGCATTAGCAGCAGCAGCAGTAACAGCAGCAACAGCAGCAACAGCAGTAGTAGTAGTAGCAGTAGTAGTAGTAGTAGTAGTGGTAGCAGCAGAAGCAGCGGTAGCAGCAGCAGCAGCAACAGCAGCAAAAAGCAGCAGTAGCGTGTGCAACGTTGTGCCGTTTTGACAACTTTCCGCCGCGTCGGGGCGTCGCGCCGTTTTCTTCGCGGCGGCGGCGGCAACAGCAGCGTGAACAACAACGGAGACAACATCGAGACCGTGTTGTTTTAAGAAGGCCGTTCGTGACGGCGGTTACGGCTGCGACGCTGCTGACCCCTCAGCCCGCACGACGACGACGACGGCGGTGGCGACGGCGACGGTGGTGGTGGTGGCGGCGGCTGCGTTCTGTTATTATTTTGCCGCGGTGCTTTTGACCCTACAAACTGGGCGAGTTCATTGCAGCGCTTTCGCGGGGGTGTCAGCCAGTTTTATTACTCCGGCCTTCTCCGTCCGCAGCAGCAGCGCCGACGGCGCCAGAACACGACGTTGGTGTACGATAGCATGTCTACCAGTGTATGTACCCGATCGCACACCGATAATCCAGAATCGCACCGTTGAACCGCTTGTTCACGAGGGCGAGAAGTCCGCCGGCAACCGCTGTATCACACTGGCTCGGTGTGATATCATCGTAGCGGGAGTTGACTGAAAAAGGAACTATAGAGTGACGTCGCGATTGAGAAGGGACGCGACGAACCACGTGATATACCTGTCGTCGGGCCGCGTCATGTAAAGCATGCTCAACTCCCCGATGGCCATAACCTGAATTGAGCCGATTTGACCCGATTAAGCCCGATTCGCCAGTTGAACGGAACAGACATACGAACGAATGAAAGAAAACAAACGGTAGCCATTGACTTTTCTCGTCCTTTTTCTCGTGCTCGCGCTCGTTAATTCTCTCTCTACAGTGTTCTTGCATTTTGCGATAAAGAAAACACGCTATCGCTTCATTAATATTGCGAGTGTTCGCTTGCGAGTAAGGTAATGTTGCGCTTCAATGCATAGTGTTGCTTGTCTAACGTGAAAAAGAAAATAAAGATTCAACCTTTAGGAGAAGAGTCAGTTTTTGTACGCTTCTAACAGGTGACTAATCGAACAAATGGACGGATTGCTCGTGATATATGGATACTGTTTCTCGTCTCAGTTGGCGTTCTCGGTGATAATTCGATGTAATCGTGCTATGGTGTACCGTGCATGGGTAGTGTCATCGGTATGGTGTTAGTAAAGTGTCAACCGTTACGTGTAATTGTCTGAAGGTGGTGGCGTGGGAGTCCGACATTTTAACCGCTCGTATTCGTGAAAAGATACAAGTGTCCACGTGTGAAATACAGTCGACACTCAGGGGCGTGAGAATCATCAAAGTCGAGCTTATTCAAGAGATCTCTCTTTTGTATCTTCTCCGATAGGAATTTTACTGTAGCGTGTCTAATATTTTTGATTTCACGGTCACGATCTATTTATTTGTTTTTCCATTTTCGTGACCACATCGTTGATTACCAAAGAGAAAGGTGTCAAGCACGTTTTTTTTTTCTTTTTTTACACCGATTAAACTTTACCGAGGAATAAACGATGAAAACTGTGTGATTTCGTTGAATAACAGAAGGATAAATTACAATTTTTAGAAGTTAGTGGATTTCCTGACAAATTAACGGTATCGTTGAGGAATATCTGTGCTCTGTACTTTTTAGTGAAGTGTTTGACAGTATTTAATTAAATGCGTAACAATGAAAAATGCCTGGTGAGTTAAAAAATTTCAATATACAATTCTTGCGTTAAAATGTGTAATCATTTGTTCTTGCAAAGTATAGTTTCGTGAATACTCGTTATTCGAGATAAAGAAGACGAGAGAAAAGAAAGAGAACAGGATGCAGGGGGAGGGGCAGTAGATAAAATGAAAGAATTATATATTATTTTTTTTTTGTTAATATTAATTAACAAAAATATTTATGAATGAAAGAGATTCTTCGTGTTTCTGACTTTTGAAATTTTAATTTCCAAATTACGAAATTGTTGCATTGTATATATTAAAACGTCAATACTGTATCAAAAATGTAGATGAATTGAAAATAATATTTCATTCATTTAATTATTTCCAATATGTTTCTATTCATTTATTTCCGTTAATTAATTTTATTTTTATCCATTTGTATTCGTTTTTTAATTTTTTCTTAGACATTTAAGATTTTGTGATCTTGTGCTTCATGGGTAGGCAAATAAATGTTTTTAGGTTAGGTTACCTATCATTAGTACTTAACCTCAAATATTGTTAATTATCTTGACTCTTTTTCTTGAAACCAATACCATTTCTTTTTATTATTTATACTTCACAATATTTAATTGTTTCTCATTTTCCTTTTTAAAATTGTGTGTCAGTAATTCAAAATCAAAAAATAATTATATATATATATATATGTATTCATTGTTACCTATACATATGATAAATTCAATCCAATTGTGATCAATTCATTGAACTATACAATGTGTTATGATTTATAAAAATTCATTCGTTACTTTTTATAAAAAAAAATGTACTTTTTATTGTTATCCGAAATTATGTAAAATATATTATCTTGGTTATTGAATTTACAATAATATTATAATATTTAATATACATTTAAAATAATTAGAATTAATAATTTAAACAGATTATTAATTTTCAGTAATATTAAATTTTTTATATTTTATTTAGTTATTTTATAGGTTATTATAATATTTATTTGAATATTTTTATTATATTATATAAATATTAAATTTTTAAGTTTTTATAATATGGAAAAAATGAGTTATGAATTTCATTCCATTGTGAAAAGCAAAAATTAGTGACTTTTTATTTTAAATTATTCTATATTCTAAAGTAACAATATAAATTTTTTCAACTTATGCTTTTTGTATTATTATATTTATTTTCACATAGTACATTATAAATTTTACAAAAACATATTTTAAAAAAGGATTTATTTTAATATAATATAGATCAGCTTTCAATTTTTAAAATTAATGTAACTAAATTGTTTTAAACAGTAAAGAGAAAGAAGTGAAGAAGGCTACTAATACAAGTAAATTAGTAAAAGTTGTAAGATTTGGGAGGATTTATAAAATCAAAGTTATTAATATAAAAATTTTGGTTTTAATTATTACTCATTTCACTTTTCAAACATATAATGTATTATATTATAGGTTTTCTATATTATAACTTATTATATTATTTTTTCTTATAATTTGTTACAAATGTGTAATGACTGATGGGCTAATAAAATTTTTTCAATCAAGAATAATATCTTTAGTAATATGACTATAACATATTAAAAAATTCTAAAGTGAAAAAATAATATTGTATATGTTGTTATTGTATATTTTGTATATGTATATATAAAATATATTTAATATTAACCTTTTACAATATAATGAATTTCTCTATTTATACCCTTTGTCACATCAGAGGTGATCTTAAAACACAAAAGGTTAAGTCTCCAATTCTCAATTAAATTTTTATTGTTCTCTAATTAAAAACATAATTTGTTTATAATTAATGTATAATTGCAATGAAAGTAATTTAGGATGATGCAAAATTTGCAGTTAATTATTATTGATGCAAATTATCATTGAAATTAGTTTCTTGGTTATATTAATTCTTAATCAAAATTAAATTTTTTATTGACATATTCAAATAAATTTTATAGCATAGTAAATAAACTATATAGTATAGTAAATAAAAACTTTTATTTTTATGTTAATTCTAGTTACTATTAGTTATTATATTTATGTAATTCTATATTATGTAATAATTATTAACATTTGAATGGTATGTCTTATTTGATATCTCATCGTTCAAATATTTATAACATATTAAGCATTATTGATTTCATTTATTGATTTATTTAACATGTTATTAATTTAACATGTTATTAATTTAATAATTATACTGATTGTATTGATTTTAATGTAAAGAGTTTTTGCAGAGAACAAAAAAATTTTTAAATAAATGATATATAAAAAATTTTTATGAAATTTTTGACATTAACATTAAGCAATTATTCAAAATTTTTATACAAAATTATAATTGAAATAATGCTGTATCTAATATGATAGTATAATATAAGGATTATTTTCAGATATATTTTTATTTCATTAAATATGTTATTGCATTGTTATAGTTAAGTTATGATATTTAATTTATTTAAGAAATGAAAAATATATGTGTTATAAATAGTTACATAATGCATGTAATTTTTTACTTTTTTAATCTAGGAATATAAATCCTTTTTAATATATGTTGTCATTATTATTGTTATTTTAAAAAATATGAATATAAAAATGATTTATTGTTATATTTTTTAGTTTTTATGAGCTTTTATAATGTTTATTAATGCAGTAGTTACATATAATCAATTATATATGTATAATGTTATTTTTATATATATTATAATTATCAGAAGGGCAAAATATATTTTGTATTATTATATTGAAATAAGTTTTATTTTTTGAGTTTTTATTATTTTTTAATTAAGATACTATAACGAATAATAAGATACTAATTAACGAATAATTTATTTATAGCACACATAATGAAAAGATTCTTTAAAGGAACAAATAAATTAAAAATATATTTACGAATTATATCTTTTATTATTTCATAATATAAAACAATATTAACTGAATACTTAATATTTTCAAATTACATTTTTATTTAATATTATAGCACATGTAACTATGAATTTATTATTTATTATGTATTCATTCATATAAAGTTACTTTATATTCAGCATTGAATAATATATTATTTTCAAATAATATAATAATTATATTCTTAATGAAATGAAAATACATTGGAAAATAATATTTATATTTCAAAAAAAGTAGTAAATAAGTATGACCGCTTAACTTTAATACATGCTATATAATGAATATGGCATTAAATTATAGAAACCTTTTATATTGCATATTCTTTCTATTTTATATTTCAAAATTGAAAACTAACCAATGAAGAATTACGAATGTAGTTACATGTGGATATTATGCCAACATGTGTGACTCTTGGACAATTTTACTTTGTTGAACATTTCAAAATATTAATAAATTTGCAACTGATCTAAGTAGCATTTTTGTTAATTAGAAATTAAGTCTCATTGAGAATTTGAACTATTTAATTGGAAATATCTTATGAAATATGTGTACAAATAAAACATATATGTATGTACAAAATAAAACATATTTTACAAGATGTAGAAATTTTATAATTATTTATCATTTATATATAAAAATAAAAGTATTATTAATTGCTATGAGTTAATAATGATCTGATGTTATAATTGAACTTGAATTTTCTATAGTATTAGTATAATTAAAACTTTATTTATTTATCTTTCAATAAAAGTTCAAATAATAATTTAAGTAATATATAATTTAAGCCGAATTTTTATGAAAAATATGTTTTAATGTTTGTTGTTTTAGTTTTGCTAAAAATATATTATATTTTATCTTATGTTTTTTTTTAAATATAATAAATGTTTAACAGACGAATAATTGTTTATTTAGTTTTGCTAAAAATTATTATTATGTTCTATCTTATGTTTTTTTTTAAATGTAATAAATGGAATATAAAGGAAAATAAGATGTGTTTATTAAAAAAAATTTTTTTAAATTTTTTCATAATTACATAATGTTTTTATTTTATTCTTTTATAAATTACATACTTTTAAATATATATTTAAAATATTTTATAATAAAAACAAAGTATATAAAAATATTTTATAATAAATTCTGCAAAGAAATTTAAAAGGTTACTATTTAAAAACCTAATGCAAGCTTTAATATTATTTTAATGATTTAATATTATTTATTTTAAATATTTCTATAGTTATTATTTTACTTCTTTTTCATAAGTCGTAAATATTAATTAGTAATAACAAAAAAATTTCATACATAATGTTAAATATATTAATATCATATCGAGATTAATGTAATTTTTAAAAATTTATGTACTTTATCTCTAAATATTTATTATATTAAAAAGATTATATTTGGATTATATTATATATGGAACTATATAAAAATGTTCCATTTAAAAAAAGTTAAATGAACGTAATTATTGCAAAGTTATGTAACTTGAGTTTTAAGTTACATACACAAAGGAAATACAAAAATAATTGTTGTTTTTCTAATATATTTTACTAGAATAAAATTATGTTATATTTTTAACTAAATAATGCCATAAGATATAATTAAAACGTATATATGTATTCTATTACAAAATATTTTATGTAATGCTTTAACAAAAATATTAGAAATTTTTGAATACGAATCTGTGTATATGAATATTTAGATTCAAAGAATTTGTTATAATTTGTTGTTGTGATAAAAAGTAACGAATGTATGTATTGAGTTTCAAGATTTATTATAATCTTAGAAAATTGTAAAAAATTTTAAATAACAACATTAGATGAAATAGTATTGTTTTAATTGCTATTCTGTTTTTTTTTTATTCCTTAATATTGGATTTTGTTTTATATATTGGAATTTATAATTGGAATTTGTAAAATGTAAAATAAGAAAAGGTGTAGATAATTTTGTTTTTATTTAAGTTGCCTTAGAATATACTAACATATTATTATTCTTGTATTATATCAAAAAAAATTTATTTATTGTGTTTTATTATTTATTTATTGTATTTATTTTTTTGTTCTTATTTATTTATTTGTTTGTTTTGTCTTATTATTTTTATTTTTCTATATTTTTGAGATTAATTTTTATATATTTTTCTTAAATTAACTTTAGAAGCTATTTTACCATAGATAATATGCTTGATATTAGCATCTACGTATTTGTTTAAGTTTAGATTTGAACTTAAATTTTAAACTTTAATTTTAAAGTAATTCAATATAATTAATTTTTTTTTTACTTTTTATTATGTTTTCTAGTTATTAAGTATAAGTGGATTGGATTTGTTAAATTGATAATAATCAGTATTAATTTAAAATTAACGCTTGTGTCTAAATATTGCCTATAATATATGCATTGCAATATAGCTATAATTTAAGTGCAATTTCTTTACTCGAAAAAAATGATAATAATGTTGCTATAACACCTTTTTGTTTATTATATAAACTTAACGCAACTATGTTAATTCAAAAAAAAAAAATCAATTTATTATCATTTGTATATTTGTATTTTAATAATTATTTAATAATTATCACTTGTATATTGAGTCCAAAATATTCGAAACTACCGGATTATATATTCTTAAATAAAAAACATTAGCGCTCGAATTAAAAACTTGTTAACGTTTCTTTATAGATGTATTCATCAATTTCCATAATGTTGTAACAATGATAAAATCGAGAATATCTATATGACGTAATAAGATCGTAAAGTGATCATTGTCATTAATCGTTGAGCGAACATTGTGATATAAATTTTATCATTGGAACTTCCGATTGTTTAACAATGTGCTCACGCGATTTCATTTGCTTTTATTTATAATATTTGTCACATCTGTAAGCGTGAAATAATGCCACAGAAAATACACGATTGAAAGCCATCGAGCCCGATTGGAATTAAAATTATTTAAACTATTTTACTTTTCTTTTCGTTAAATTAAACCTATATATAACACATCCTACGTGCGCGTATGCGGAAACGATGCGTCTAATAATAGGCGACACGTTTACCGTCGACACTTATTGGGTAGCTTATTTACTTACGATTTTGAAAGTGATGGGATTTATAATTGGCATTATAAGATATATTTCATCCAGCGTTTGAAAAGGAAGTTTGACAATCATCGATTTAAATTCCTTGAATTTTATTTTTATTTTACTTTGAAATTCATTCTTTACGATGCGTTGATTAAAGATATTTGAAAGAAGTATACAACAAATAAGAATACATTTTCAAAGGAAGAGAATTATATTTTTTTCTTTTTAATACTTTTGATGTACGATCATAATAAGTGTTGTCTCATAGTGGATTAAAATGGATTAATGATTTTAAATTGTAATTCAAGATTAAAGGTCACTCTTTAATCGTTAATTAATAAAAAATTATTTGCTATTTTAAATAGCAAAAAGAGAGTTTCTAAAAGTGAGTTTCTTTAGTAATTTAAATTCTCATTTGAATTTAATCTTATTCTTAAATTATATTATTAATAATTTTTATAATTAATATATAATTATTAATAATTATATATTATTAATTTAATCTTAATCTTATTCTATAAAAAAATCAGCATTGTTGAGGAAATTACTATACATATCTACAGATGTACATGATTTCAGAAAATATGTCACACTAATTCCTTATCTGCTTGTAGGTGTTAAAGTTGGATGAACGTATAACTTTAGTAACAAGTTCTTCTTACAAGTACTATTGTAAATGTACACTTCAGTCCCTAACCTAGCTTTCAAATGCTACGTATATCATTCTAATTAAAAATGCTTGATACTCGATATTCCAAAATTATTTTACATTACAAAATTTACAAAATTTTTAGGGAACTAGACGATAATTTCATGAAATTATTAATCAATATGAACATGTATGACTGTACAACAGTACAAATATAATTATAGTAACTTTTCCTTTTAAAAGTTAAATTCCTCAAAAGTCTCTTGATCTCAAGACGAATTTAATTCTTACTTTGCAAGAACTTATGATCCTTTTGACGAATAAGTTTCTAATTTAATGATTCAATGGTTTTGATTTCAGACATCAAGGATTGTGGAAGTTAATGGTGAAATCGAATGAGAATTTGCAGTGTGAAGAAGACAAGTGAACTGATAACAGTAGAGAAGAAGAAGAAGAGGATCTGAACGCATCGTTGCTAAAAAAATTAATAACAGTTAGTTGAAAGAACGGGGAGAAAAACTTAGAAACGGGAAAGATTGCACGAGAAGGAAGCATTGGAAAGCGAGTGCACACATTTGTGGATTGCGTAATAAAAAGGGAGAGAGAGAGAGTGAAAAAGAAGAAAGACTCAGTGTGTCTGTAAATAAGAGTTATTTTTCGTATGTGGGAACAGAAGCTACATTCACGTCGAAACGAGGGGAAACGAGTGAGAAGATGTTTAGAAGTCCTTGAACGAGAAAAGGTTCGGAGGACTTTCTCTCTCTCTCTCTCTCTCTCTCTTAGAAGGATACACGGAAAAAGTGATAAAACACTAGTGGCAAAAGATAAGAAAGAGGTGAACGAAGAAGTAAGAGATACAGTGTTACAATTATTATTATTATCGAGCCTTTTCTCTATAGCCTTCATTCAAAATTGATCGTGTCTCTTCCACTTGCAGGGGAATATTATTCGCGGAGGGTGATTAGTTTAGATTTAAAAAAAAAAAAGACTGAAAAAATTTTCACAGAACGCGAGAGAGAGAGAGAGAGAGAGAGAGAGAGAGAGAGAGAGA